ATGCGTGCCTTGAAGGTGCCATCATGCTTGCGAGCAAAGACAACACGAAGGTCGAGGGGCTTGATGTGAGCTGGAAGGTGATCTAGTCCTTGGATGACGTAGTGCTCGTGAAAGGAATCAGCCTCCTTCTCAAGGGCACGGGTCCAGCTGTCAGCATCAGGACTGTGCATGGCTTCCTTGACGGTAGCAGGCAGCTTGTTGTAGTTGTCGGTGGTGGTGATGTTGGCGCTGAAATGAGGATGGTCAAGGAGAAGAGGGTCAGTGTCGTCGTCGAGGTCATCGGTAACAATAATGGTAGTGGTGGTAGTAGTGGAGGTAGTGGAGTCAGCAGAGTCAGCAAAATCAGCAAAATCAGCAGCAGAAGTAGTGGGTTCGTCGTGGTCAAGGTCGTCAAATTGGTCGTGTTTAGGTGGTACAGTTGCATTCTCCCCTTCACCTGGGCATTGACGTGACTGTGCGCACAGCCCAACCCCCGACCACCTCGCAAGCCTGCATCAAGGTGGGCGCTGCCCTTCGCCGAGCCGAAAAGGAGAAGCGCGACTACTACACCGGTTTCAACCATGGAAAAACTCTGATCGTCCCTGCGGCGATGACGACAACCGGTGGGTTCGCCTCCTCCTTTGTGGATCTGCTTGGTCAGCTCGCCCGCTGCGCCGAGGCCCGTGGTGTGTACCAGCCGGGGCTGGATGAGGCCTTTGTTCCCCGGTGGAAGGGTCGCTTTGCGGCGCTGGTCCATCAGATGAACGCTGACCACATCCAGCGCCACTTTGGCGGTGTCTGCCTGCGCTCGTCGTAGGTAGGAACCGTCTCGGGGGTCCCTCTGTGGGGATCCCTGTGTGCACCTGTCGCTCCCAGGGTGGTTCCTCGTTGTGTCTTTTGATGGCTTGACTTGTATTTTTGTCTGATTTTGCTTTGATTTCTGCTGTATCTGTGTGGTATTTTTGCTGAATTTTTGTAAGGTCCTTTGTATGATGTCTTTGTCTTCTGTGGTTGGTTGTTTTCTCAATCCGACGTTGTGTCTCGTTGGACGTGAGCGTGCCGTGGTGTGTTTTATGTTCGTGCTGTGATGGCTTGTAGTTGTGATGTGTGACTGCCTTTTTATGTGTCTTGTGTTTAAAATGGCCGTATCTCTGGTTATACTTGGTCGTTTTGTACGATTTTTGTTTCTATGTGCGTGATTCTTCGCGCTTGTACTTCTTGGCATGATAGGAGCCGATGAAATTGTCTTGTTCTCTTGGGGTGTTCTGCATGCCGTCGTGATTTTGATGTCGGGGTTGCACAGCTTTGCTTTCAGCTCTGAGGTTCAAACACCTAATTTATTATTTATTATTTATTGTACTTTTTGGCATGATAGAAGCCGATAAATGTAGCTTGTTCTCTTGTGTTGTTTTGCGTGCCGTTGTGATGTTGATGTCGGGGTTGCACAGCTTTGCTTTCAGCTCTTTTTGTAAGGTCCTTTGTATGATGTCTTTTTCTTCTGTGGCCGGTTGTTTTCCTCAATCCGACGTTGTGTCTCGTTGGATGTGAGCGTGCCGTGGTGTTCATTGTGTTTGTGCTGTGATGGCTTATACTTGTGATGTGTGACTGCCCTTTTGGGTGTCTTGTGTTTGAAATGGCCGTATCTCTGGTTATACTTGGTCGTTTTGTACGATTTTTGTTTCTGTGTGCAGGATTCTTCGCGCTTGTACTTCTTGGCATGATAAAAGCCAGCGAATGTAACTTGTTCTCTTGTGTTGTTTTGCGTGCCGAATGTAACTTGTTCTCTTGTGTTGTTTTGCGTGCCGAATGTAACTTGTTCTCTTGTGTTGTTTTGCGTGCCCTTGTGATGTTGATGTCGGGGTTGCACAGCTTTGCTTTCAGCTCTGAGGTTCAAACACCTAATTTATTATTCAGCTCTGAGGTTCAAACACCTAATTTATTTATTTTGGCCATGTTGCAGACATAAGCCACCGGACCGCGCTCAACCAAGTCGTGCAGGCCAAAGCCCCCGGTGTTGGCCCGTGTGAAGATGCGAGCCTCCAGGAGCTGTTCCAGCGTAACGTCATGACCTTCAGCTCCAGCTGGTGCAGACAGGATTACCTTGGCAAAAAAGGCTTTGACAAAGGTGTCCTTGCAAGCACGGTTCAAGAGCTCGGACAAGCCCGACGTCAGACTTGGGGGCAGCGTGTAGAGGTGGTTGATGAGGCTAGGCACGTACTGCATGGCCGTGAGGAGGGCCTGAAGCGAGACACCGGTCGTCAGCATTTCATTGAGCTTGCCAGCAATGTGCTTCGCC